CTTTTAATTATTTTTTGTTTCCTTTTTATTATAATATATATTATCATTTTTTGTATTAAAGAATAATTTTACAAAGGAAAGAAACATATATAGATATATATGGACATATTTTGCAAATAATTATATATAATTATATGTGGAACTTTTTTTCCCGGGTTAACATAGAATTTCTCAATTGTTTTATTTTGACGACAAATGATTGAAAGATAATCAGTTGAAAGAATACTCAATTAATGCGGCATGTAATCTTCAGTCTGCAAATATGATTCCTCGGGACGGAAAGTGTTCCTTAAAACCGCGACGTACGATCGACTGAGAGGCTACAACATGAGGAAGCGTGTAGAGGTGCCAAGCAAACGGAGCCTCACAAAATTGCCGCGCTTGGGGCTGCCGCAGAAGCCGTACGGATTCTGCTGCGAGGAGAAGGATCAGGATCCCGAGAAGCGCTACGACATGCGGAACCCGCCGTTCACGTCGTCCTTGACGGACGTCGTCCTGGGCGCCGGCGGACCAGGCGTGAAGTTCCGCGTGCAGGACATCGGTCCGCCGCCGTATCCCATCCAACGCAGAATTCTCGAGGCCAAGGGCAGAGCTTATCTGGGACGGTGCAAACGATGCCGGGGTCCTCTGCGGTGGTACCTGGAGGACGAAATCGCGCTCGCGCGCGATTTCCTCGCCAAGGAGAGACGGGACAATTATAATGCAACCGTCAAAAGGAATCTGATGATTGCCAAACGAAAGGGTGAAATTCCACGCCTTCAAATCACGAAACAGATTAATTTCAATTTTTATCATGTATTATTTATCAAGGAGCGAATTACGTGTCTTTATATTAATTCTTTTTGTATAATGTACTACGTTATATACTAATGAAATTAAAAAAAAAAATATTACTCTTTGTGATATACATGTAATTAATTTTCTTGATATTAAATATAATTGCTATAATTTAGGTAATTACTATTTATGTAATTAGTGATTATTTAGAAATATTTATCGATTATGTAATTAAAAAGTATTTTTTTATGTATACAAATGAAAATCATTTATATAATGAGATTTTTCTATATTAATAAAGCAAGAAAACGCAGCAGTACTAAAAAACGGAATTTGAAGATTACTTCTGAAATTACACAAGATAATCAGCAGTTCGAGAAATAATATATAAAAAAATATGGTCTTGAAGAAATCTATTCGTATCTATGTATCACAGTACCGTAACAAGGATTAAAATAAATATGAATAAAATAATTTTTTTATAATAAATCATTTATAAAAAATTATGAAATGCGGATAATTATAAAACGCGGTAGGATACCTTGAAATATTTATTAGAAAAATATATTTTAGCAGAATACAAATACAAATTTTTACAGCTTTGCCTGTCAACTACTATAATCGTAATGTTATACATATTAATAAAGAACTATAGGAAGAAACGGGAAGAACTACATAATACATGGCATAGGATTCGAAATGAATTCACAATTCACGTTTGATTTTAATATATATAATATATATATATATATATGTATGTATAGTTTTAATATATATGAAAAATGTACATAACATAGTAACGACACAAGAAGCAGCTTTTCTCTCTCTTACGATAATCGTTTAGGATAATTTTATTATTACCATATAATGCTTAAAGCTTCAAAAACATACGTTGCATACACGTTTGGACACTACCATTTTATATGCTGCGTAATTATAATGCTGCTAAATATGAAAATAATTTGTAGACATGTTACTTGCTTCTACAGAATTGTGCATTTGTTGAGAACAAAAAATAATCACTATACTTCACTTCTGAAGGAGTAGCATTAAAAATTGTTCCAAACATTTGTTATGATTATCAAATATGTCAAACAAGTAAAAACTGTAAATTGCTTATTATACTTGTGTAAAAAAAAGCAGTTTGTGTGAATAATGTATAATTGCAATAAAGCTGTCTAAAAATTATACATTATTCACACTGCTTTTTGAAAAAGAGTTATCCCAAACTGAAAGCAAAAAATTGGAAAGTTATTGACTTAATCAGGCAATATAATTTGAATCATAATACAAAGTAATCATCATTTAACATAAATAATTCGGTTATCGATTAAGTAAATTAATCTTTGGTTGCATATTTGGCGTGACGCGTACTGTAGCAGCAACATGTAGTAAATTTATGAGAAACGCGGCATATTTGTGTCGTTTGTAAAAAGGAGAAAACAAAAATTAAATTTAAATTAACGATTCGTTTTACACGTTAACGTATGGCTATACTCTTTCAAATATACATTATGTATTGTATAACATAAGAAAACGGTAAATAAAAATGATCTTTTGAAAAAACTGCGTTATACAAGTTCGAATTTTTATACCGTAAATTTACATGTACGTATATAATGGGTGTGTGCATATAAATTCGCAATACGTAACCGCTACGTTATAAAATTATACCATATATTTAGGAATGTTGTCCTCTACAGAAACGCTAAGTACCTCGTCAGTTTCGTTTGCACTGTCGAGGACTGGCTGCACATAGGGATTCACGACTGCAGCCACGATTTTCTCCGAGTGCGATGTCTTTGGTGTCAAACAACGTTTCGTTTCCGTTTCGCTTCGCTTAGACGGCTCGCCTTCGGAAATAAGTTCATCCTTGTCCTTCGATTGTACTTCTGAAGGACTACGTTGCTCAATTGGGTCAGTCTTAACGGCGGGCAACAATTTCGCCGAGGAAGAATCTGCGTTCTCAGATTGGGTCTCCAAACCATTATTGTTTGTACTTTCAGGAATGATTTCGCTCTCCGTTAAACCTTGCCCTTGAATCTGCTCGAGATTCACTTGTTCTCTTGACAGCAAACACGATTCCATCTCTAAAATGGACTTCGAAGACGCGATTGCACCATTTTCCATCTTAGTTACTCCTTGTTCTTCCTGCATGCCTTGACTAGCATCAAGTTGCACAATGCCCTGAGGCTGTGCTTCAGTCGTTACAGATAAAATTTTGTTCGATTCTAAATCCTCGATGTCTCTTTTTGTATCTACAGTCTCTAAAATCTGTGCGTCTAAAACTTCATTATCTATTTCTGTTTGATATCTATGTACTTGAGAATGTAGCTCCTGCTGCTCCGGCTCATTCGCGTTGGTTGCGACGCTCTGTTGCGTTTCGTTTGCATTCAATGAATCTGCATTATCGATTTTTTGCGTCTCTAGCTCGTCGGTGGCGTCTTTTATCATATGCTCAATAATTTCGTCGACGCTAAGTTCCATTACACCGGACGAGGTCATTTGATGACATGATACAATAGCTGCACTTGCACTAGAAATCGTTTCGTTCGCAACGACATCGGTATTCTTGTCCATTTCTGTGCTCACGTTCTTTTTCAATGTTAAAGTACATTCATCAACTGCAACTTCAGAACCGTTGTCGACGTTCTCTTCGATTTCGCTCGCGATTTGTTGATCCTCGCCATTTATATCAGAGTTTTTAATCGATCCGTTAAACACTGCCCCATTAATTTGAAGGGGCTTCTCCATTTGATCGATACATTCCAGATTATCTGTTTGACTGAGTATAGGTTCTTCTGTAGCTTTCTTATCATTTATTAGCTCAGGCTGTTCAGGCTCATGTAATACCGTTTCTTGTTTCTCCACATCGGGAGCAGTATCTTTCGTTTCGGTCACTTTTGGAATGTCTTCGCACTCGGATAAAAGATCAATAACATTTGTCCCGTTTAGGCTTAATCGAACGTGCATTGGGTCGTTCTCGTCGAGGATCTCGAACTGGAACATGGTGGCGCCTTCGGCGGCGAGTTCCTTGAACTTGTCGCAAGCCTTCTCGCTCCACGCGACAACGCTGCTCGGCTTCTCCAACGCGCATCGTTTCGACAAGATGGGGATATTCACGATGTCCTCCGGCAGCACTCTCAACTCTTCCGTAACCGCGGAATTGCCGTAATCCATGTACAGGACCTCCATGCTCTCTTTACAACGCGCGATTATCTTCGCTCTGTACCAATAGCCGTCCTCGGGGTATCGCGCCGCGCAAACCGTGCCGACGTCGAAGCTATTCAACACGAGGAAACTCTCCGCGTCTCGCAGGCGATCCGACATCACCTCCAGCTCGCTTATACTGCTCTCGGCTTGAATCCAGAACTCGTTCGGGCTGTTGATGTGACTGACCACGACATTCGGCGAGTTCTCCTCGCCGAGCGGCGGCAGCCTCTCCTCGATCACCGGCGAGGAACTTCGCTCGCACAAATTGCCAAGCATGTCCGCGACATTTTGACCATCCAACGTCAGTTTCACCAACGACGTCTCTTGCTCCTTCAGTACGTCCAGAATGAAAATCGTCGCGCCGTCCGCGGCCAATTTAACGAATTCTTCGCGCGCCTGCTCGGACCATTCCTCGACTTGCGACGGCAGCTCCAAGCAGCACTTTCGCGACAAGGGCGATATACTCGCTAGGTCTTCTGGAATGGCACGTATCTCGGTGGATATCGCCGAATTTCCGTAATCGATATATATGACTTGCGTGCCGTTCTCGTCGTGAGAGACGACGCGCGCTCTGTACCATTGTTCATCCTCGGGATACTTGGCGACGCACAGCAAACCTTCGTTTATGTCGTCGATCTTCGGGAACATGTCGGCGACCATGAATCTGTCCGCCATCACTTCCAAATCAGCAACAGACTTCTCTTCCTGAACCCAAAACTCGCTCGGCGAATTGATATGACACACGAAGGCCGAATGCGGATCCAGTTCAAGGTCGACTATCTCATCTACGGGCTCCTGCTCGATGTTAATTATGATTGCGTGCTTTTCCTCGACCAACGTCTCGCTGACGCTCTTGTTGTTTATAAACAGCTCTACGCGTTTAGGCGTGGTATCTGCTACTACCAGAGCCTGAAGACTCTCCACTGACGTCACCAAATTCTTGAACCTCTCGCAAGTCAACTCGCTCCAATCCTCCGTGTCGACAGGAATAACGTCGAGTCTGCATTTCAACGCGAATGTCTCTAGGCTCTTCCAGGCGTCTGGTATCTGTCGAATGTTGCTCGTCTTGTTGTCAATGACATCGGTATTGCCGTAGTCTACGAATCGGACAGTCGTAATATCTTCGTCCGCGTCCAATACCTCCGCGCGATACCAGAGATCGTCAATCGAGTAAACGGCCACGCACAAAGCTCCTTCTTCCGGTATACCATCTATCGCTGAAAATTCGGAAACCTCTAGCTGAAGTTGCTCCTGTTTTTCATTAAGATGTGTAATCTTGTCCATACGATGCAGCCAGAACTGACTTGGAGAATCCACGTGAGATATGCATACGTCGAACCTGTCAGGTGTTGCTGTCTCAGGTGTTGCTGTTTCGTGTTTATCAGATGCTGGTTGAGAAGCCGGTTCAGATACCGTTTGTTCTTCTCTCACTAGATTCAACGAGCGGAATTTATCGCTGAGCTTTTCTCCGTTTTCAGCTAGATCGACGATCCATTTTTCATGCACGTTGTAAAATACAGCCACGAGTTCTTTATTCATCAAATGAGTCTGCAGTATCTCTTTCTGTTCGTCCTCGGTGCCAGTGAGAGACACGGATAACGATACTTTTATCGCCAATTGATGGGGTTCGTAAAATTGCGGTTCCAAAATCATGATCGAATCAAGGGCAACTTCCTCGGTATTGCCGTAGTCAATGTAACTTACGTAGGCCGTCGTTTCGGTGAGGCTAATAATTTTCCCTCTGTACCACTGGCCGTCGTCCGAATACTTCGTCGCGCATAACAGATGCATCGCCGGCTCGAGTTTTTGTCCAGAGCTGGCGTAATATTGTTGAAGATCTTCCGACAGTTTAGTCTCAATCTCCACATCCGCGTACCGTTGCAACCAGATGTTGGTAGGATGATCCGCGTACGACACAGAGACGCTGTGAGTTGAACTTAGAATAGGCATGGCACATACGGGTGATGTCGTCTCTTCAGTATTCATTATCCCGTTGCCGAGTAGATCATACAACTTTACGATAAGTCTACACGAAACAAAAGACGTTAGACGTCTATTAGAAACTTATTTTTTTACAATTTATATAATCGCGACAAAATTTACACACAAACCTGCTACTGTAGACTTCTTCCACATGGATTAATACTTCTTTGCCTTCAAGTTCCTTCAATCGTTTATACGTGTCGGGCGGCGCGTCTCGCAAAGAGCATTCTAACGCCTGGTTCTGCATTACCGCGAGCTCTCCAGGTAGAGCCAAAGCCTAGATTATATTGTTACATTAATATAGAAAATAACGAGTATCAAAACTGACTATAAATTTCTTACTTATTTATAGTTCATAATTTCGATCAAATTCAGTATGTCGTAATCTCACATATTGCGACACGATGTATGGTATTAACTCGCGCACCGCCAAATCAATGACCTGTAGAAGTTTTTGTAAATATCTGTCTATGTAGACTCACATTATCCAGGATTTCATCGTACGTCCCGGTATCAATGAGCTTTACGTCAAACTCGGCGGACCGTGTGCAGTTAATCACTACAGCTCGCCTCCACGTTCCATTTGAATGGACTAAACAACCCGCGCCGAGACACAACTCGCGGGTCGATAATCGCGGCATCACCTGACATTATTTGTGACTTCTCCTTATCAATGAAATTCGCTCGAATTCATGCGAACGATCGTTAGATTGAATGAAAAGATAGATCAAGCTATTTCGAAATTATTGTTAAATTATTGTTATTTTAGGAAATTCGAACATTATGATGAGGGGGACATTTAGGGATACTATGTTACGACTGATTTTTAATTATTTAGCTGTTAATACCATATATCGTGCAATGATATTTAAGACATTTTATTTTATGGGATCGACATTGAAGTCTCAGAAAAGCATTTATTCATAATCAGACTAGATATCATAAATTGTTATGTGATTTACCAGATTAGTTATTTATATGTTAAATGAAATATTCAACTTTTTAAATACATGAATAAACTTTTCTTTTCCATCACCGTAATATATCACATTTAAGGATCTTGAACAAATATGAATTAGACGAATTATAACGAGTCATTTCTAATTTGTTTAATTTTCGAATTTTCAAATTTGCTCAATTGTTTAGGAAACTGAAGAAATTTATTTTAAATACATGGATTTTGCTTGTTATTAAATGACAGATATCATAGCTTGTTATTACGACAAGCCGTTAGTCCATGTTTGTTAGAAAATGAAAAGTTACTTTTTTAATTTTTCATAAAATTTGCAATATATATATATATAGCAGAATATGCGATTGAAATATGACAGAATATAAGATGCGGCTGAAATGCGTTAAACATACCTCTGTATCTTTATCAGTCATGTATTGGTTAACAATGTTTTCACATTTTGTAGCAGATGGAAGCTGGATATAAAACTTAACTGTGCTTTCTACACTAGAAATTCTCATTTTGAGAGTTTGGCCACTCAATAGACTTATATCTACTCTCTCTACTTCACCGACCTTTTTTTCTTCTACATTAGATGTTTCTGTAGCTAAAATATAAAAAATTATAATGTTAAACTTTCATATGAATCTATAATATGCAACTTTTGTTGTGCGTGTTGAAATATAAATGGATTTTGAAATAATTCTTACCACCGGTTGTTTCAACTGCAGTTGTTATAGCAAGATTTTGTTGTACTAACATATCACCCACATCTTGTCCATTATTATTTAATGAAATTATATATTGATCGTCTTTAAAACTGTGGAATATGCATTCGTATTTGTCGGCGTTAAAGTAACTGTCGAGCGCGTTATTATCCACTTTAAGCCAATTCGAATTAGATATATCTTTTAAGGAACACTGCACTGCTAATTTGGGTAGCTGCATGAATTTCTTCTCGACGGGATAGATATTATGTCGATGTACAGTTGCGCAATTTCCAAAATCTATATACTGAATTCTGTATGCATCCTTCCGCGTATCAATACTTATAACTTCCGCTCTATACAGAGCTTTATCTTCGGAAAATATAGCTATAACTGCTGAACCAATCTAAAAAGAGCAACAGTTACATTTTTATTTATTCAATTACTACTTTTTTCATAAATACATAAATATATTTTTAGAATAAAAATAGTAAATCTTGATAAATAGAAAAAATAATAATTACCTCCAATTTATATGTCACAGGTTTCCTACCAGCATACGTTTTTTGAATCTCGCTCATCATTGCCTTAAATTCGGCTTCTTTAGATAACAGTTGGCAATATAACTTATTAGGATTGATAAACCATGTCACGACTATATTATGTTTAGATTCAGACTCGAATAAAATTGTTTGCCACTTGAAATCAGGCGAAGCATAATCTGTAGCTGTTTTGATTTCCACAGTCGTAGTTTCAAATGTGTCTTTACTTGTCGCAACTTGTTTCGCTTTCGTTAAATCTGCGATTGTGCAAAACTCCTCGTTTATATAATTAGTGTTCGGTACACCGTCAACAACTTCACACAATTGTACTTCATACATCTCGTCTTTTTCAGAGACAAACTCCACCTGTAAAGGCTTCCCGTCGGCCTTCTCCACGAAAATCGCATGTTGCTCTTCCTCATTGCCCGTATTTGTCAATCCGAGCAATTTACAACGTACCGCTTGCATCGGCAGCTTTAGAAAATCTTCCAAAATGACCTTGATGTTCGTTAAGTCGACTAACTCTGTATTTCCATAATCGACGAATTCCACGGTTGCGCTATTCTCTTCTACAGATTTGATTACCGCTCGATACCATTTGAGATCCTCTGAGTATTGAGCGACACAATATGTACCAATTTGTATCTCGGAGGCTTGCATCGTTTCGCCACCATTCTCGTAAGTCGCAGCAATATTTTCCATAATAGAATCCAACTCCAAGCAGTCGGGACTTAACTGAACGAAAAAGTCCGATGGGCTGTTAATGAATACAACTTCGCAATTCTTCACGGAACCAAGAGTAATATCAATCTTCTTTAATGAAAGTTGGGATTTTCCGCCAACAGCGGTAATATTGTCCTGTAGCCTTTTGTTAGCGCCATTTGTATCCCAAGGTTCACTATCAGTTGTCTGTAAATAACGGTACATGCGCATGTAATATTTTATAAAATTTTGAAATCTATCAAATGTATAAATGTAGAATTCATACTATTTATTAATATATTAATTACAATTGAATTTTTCTTACCTGATTGAACAAAACTTCATTTGTATTATCCTCTTTTCTGAAATTATTACTGCTGTTGTCATTGTCACCTACATAACAAAATATATCATAAAATCACATTTTTATATTATATGGTAAACATCAAATATCACATTTGTAAATATTAAGTACCATTAAATTTATCGTTCCTATAATTAGCTTTATAAGCTGGTTTCTTGTCATCCCAATTCGTAGTCTGCCATCTGCCCGGCGTTCCACCGTCGCGGCTTCCTCCTCGGTTATCGTTAAAACCATTACGTTTGAAGCCACCTTTCCCTCGCCTATCATTACTTTTAGACGAAGTATCCGAATCTTTATCACTATTTGCTTTATCAAACGAATTGTTACGGTTGTGTCTCCTTTCATTGCCAGCGAATCTATTTCCACTGTCGCGAGGAGGTCCTCTATTACCTCTATTAAATGATGTATTTACATCACCCTCATCGTATTTGTTGAACGATTTATCTCTATCAAATCTATTGTTTGTTGGTCTATCTCTAAACCGATCGTTCTGTGAACCGTCACGATGAAAACTGGTTCTCTCACGTTTATTATCGTATTGTTTCTCTTGAGACCATTCGCTTTTCCAATTCGATTTATTTTCTTGGAAGGGCTTAGCGTTTTGGTTACGCCATGACTCCATGTTACTTTTTTTACTATATCTATCTTTATCTTCACTGTAACAGAAAAAAATACAACTGTATTAAAATAACTTCATTTAAACACAACGTAATAAAAAAAATAGTATTGCATTAGGAAAAATTAATAAATTATAATATTGTATTTATTTACAAAATTTTTATATACATAATATATATATATACATATATAAAGTAAATTGATAAATCATGAAAAATTAGAATACAATTTAATGTAATAAAATCATATTCAATAGATCGTAATCATAAGATAATACTTTTCTACATAATATATATAGAAATTTTATAGCTTACGTTAAACACAATGTTATGAAATTTTATATAATAAAAAACACATTTATAAACACATCTTGTTATAAACACATTTTTATACAAGACTTAGGATGCAATAAATTATAGCATCTTATGCTATAATTTTCTTGTAAATGTTGAATATATTACAATAATTAAGAACCATTTACTTTTATTCAATTTTGATAATAGCTAATTATCATCAATTTATTACCTCTGGAATTCATTCATTGTCTTTACAGGATGCTGAACTTCTTCATTTCGTGAGCATGTTGTAGCATTTTCTTTATCGCAGAACAAATTATTCAGTAACTGAGGGTGAACGCTCCTCATCGTGTCAAATTCGTATAAATCGACTAATAGGCCATTGGGTTGTGCAGCAACTACTTTCATGTAAAAACGTTTCTCAAGTGTCAATCTTTCGAAACGATTAGAATCTTCTTGATCTAATGAAAGCACCTCGTAGCCATTCAATGCACACTTTACAGCTTGCGCAGGCAATTTCGTTACTAAATCGTCATGAATTGCACGAATGGATATTACAGGTAGTACCTCTTCGTTTCCGTAGTCAACATATACTACTTTGACTTTATCTCCAACAATGCCAAGGATTTGTGCACGGTACCTAAAAAGAAAAGACCATATGTGACGATCATCATCAATATAGAGTGTAATAATAGCTAGTTAACATTGCGCTACTTCAAAACTTACCATTGTGACTCGTATAGAGCGGCACAGGGTAGTCCTGCTTTCAATTGTGCTATATTTAAGGTAGACGCAGTTTTCGCATACTGCGTCAGGCCGGCCATTATCGACTCGAGGGACTTAATCCCGCTATCAAGTTGCACAAAGAATTTTTTACACGACTCCACATAGGAGACATGCACAACTTCCTGGAAATCTTTTGCCAGTCGTCGTAATTGCGGATAGGAATATGTTATCGGCACCGCCGCAACTGGCGCCGGGAATGCTTTCTTCAGCATGTCCTTTACATTGACACCATTTTCGTACAAGTCACCGTATTGAATCAACGGCGGCCCCTCCGGTGGACGGACGTGTAGAACAAGTAATCTTCGGTACACCAGTTGCTTAAAGTACTCCTTCATCTCTTGCGAGATAATCAGTTCTTTCAAGCCGCTCAAAGTGAATCGAATCGACAACACCTTGGGATTGATATACTTGGGCGGCAGTTGGAAAATGTCTGTATACGGCAAAATTTCCGTGTGACCGAAATCGACGTAATACAGCTTGCACTTGTGCTCCATCACGGACATCACAACCGCACGACACAGCACCCTCTCGCCACCGGTGTCGTTGTAGCGTCCCAGGCAAACCGATCCCGGCAACGGTGGCTCCTGCAACGGTTGCTTCGGATGGTTGTTTATCTCGGTCATAAGCTGCGTCAGTATATCTCTCGCAGTTTCAACTTGTACGGAAAATTTGTGCGGGCCGTCTTCGACGTGCGATATCAGCACTTCGTGATGTGAGCCCACGTCTAATACCCGCGACTTAAACACGAGTGCTTCTTGATGGACAGGCGGTGGCGGATGCTGCATTATCGGCGCAGGAGCGACATGTTTGGGTTGATTCACATCGGGAGAATAAGTCTTGTGGTACAACCCCTGAACATTGGCATTATGATTCATATTTGGATTTTGCACCATTGGCATTGCTGCAAAGTTATTTATATTGCCCTTGTTTTGTTGCTGATATGGCATTTGTTGAAGCATTCGAGATTGCAGCATCTGCTTTGGTGGTCTAAATAATAAAAAGTGAAAAATTATTTAAGTGATACAAATAAAAAAAGAATCTTAAAAAATATATATATATACATATATCGTTAAGTCTAAAAAAATTAATAATAAAATAGACTATACCTAAACATGTCTTGTAAAGTGGCTGGTAAAGCTATACGTTCCTTCACCAACAACTCGCTCAAGTCCTCATTGTTGCACCACAATTTAATCAGGCGATGATTGTTCAGCGTCTGAATCAACGCTCTGTATTCGTTGTAACAAATAGTCTTTTTGATAGTCTCGATCGTTCTATTTTCCCAAACGCCGTTCACAGGCAATACGTTGAGCAACGTAAATTCGCCTGCCATTGGTCCGTAAGCCTGCAGAGGCTCGGCTCCGCGTATGTTGTCCAAGAGATGGATGTCATTCGGCAACAGTACCTCCACGTTGCCGTAGTCGATGAAGTGCACGACAATCATGCCGTCGGGACGCACATTGAGTATCTTCGCCCGGTAATAGCCCTCGGTCTGAAATCTAGCGCAGCACAAGGTGCCGGGGATCAGTCTGCTGGCCTTGGTGGGGCAGCCGTATCCCTGATTGAACTGATCTATCAGGGGATATATGTAGTGCTCTATGGCGGTGGCGGCCTGCTTGTCCACCTGGCCCCATATCTTCAGGTAAATGTCGTCCGGTTCCACGTGCGTGACGAAAATGAAGCACTCGGAGGACGACGGTTGCTGGGTCATGTTGGCTCGTTCTGGCAACATTTTCTCAGACCGAACGCCTATACGTGTGCTCACACACCGCCCTCGTGCCTCGTTACCTCTCTCGCTTCCGTCGTTCGGATGCCCTGCAACAGACGCGGCACAGTTAGTCAAAGAACCGTATTTCTCCTCCCTCTCCTCCCCCTCCCCCCCTCCACGCGAACGGCGACGGTGAGGAATGTTTTTATAGATATCGCGAGTATTGCATTACGGTGGCCGTGTCGATTACACGGGGCGCACGCAATTCGCGCGATAACACAGCTACGCCGCGGATATTCTCTAGCCTGACGAATCCTCGAATCGCCGGCGACTCGGGATGAAAATATGAAATTTCGCGTTCTCAGCCCCGTTCACGACGGCGCGCGTTCCGCACGATTCCACGACAATCGTTACCTTGAATCGACGTCGTGTTTCACATCTGCCAAATAATTCGCGAGCGCCGTCCGTTCCACTTCATCAAGCCTCTTTTTTTTTTCCTCTCCCTCTCCCACCCGCCTTTTCACGTCGCCGGGAGCCGCGCGACACGATCGTCGAAACAATCAATCGTGCCCTTGCTGTTGACCCTTTTCACCGAGAGAGAGAAAGAGAGAGAGAGAGAGAGAGAAAAGCAGAAAACGCGTTGTATACAACGCACACACTCCGATCGACGATGTACACACACGCGAATGTCGCGAATACGTGCTGCTGCAACTTCCAACGGGGAGGGGGAGAAGAAAAAAACACGGCTAACGAATGGAACGCGAAACGAGCACGGATGTTTGTACAGTTACCTGGAATTCGATGTTATTCCTCTTTCACGCGCGGCTCACCTCTTCCAACCTATTCGATCGCCAGTGAGGCTAATGACGCAACCACGCCGTGTTTCGAACCACGCGAAGCCCCGTTTCGAAAAACGCACCACTTTTGGCGCTTGTCCTTTGTTTAACGCCGACAACTTACGAATGGACGTTTCCCACATATTGAAAGAGCGCTAAATTCAAACGGGGTTCAAACAATCAATAGCGACGTAATAATAATGTAATAATTCATATATGGGGTATCCGTATCGAAAATGCAGAATAAAAAAGAATCCTTGTGGATAAAAATATTCTGTAAGGAAAGTTCTCGAGAAGCGAGATAATAAAAGCGTATAATCTTTTACTTCGAATAGTACGATTCCTTCCTTTTCTCTGCCATCATTTCAATTATTTCACAATACCACTTATAATGTTGTAAATTTTCACAATTGTTTCGCAATTCATTAATATTGTTCCACGTGAATTTATTTTTAATATATATCTTTATACATGTATGATTAAAAACACATATATTTTGTACATGCATTAGAAGATTTTTATAGGATCTTTTTATCTGAGATTTTTGTTTTAGAACGAATTACAAAATTGCCGAGGAAAATGCATCTTTTATTTCTATGTGCAATACAAGAGAAGAAGATAATTCTCGATATTTCTAAACATCGAAGATTACAGACTTTATTCAAAACTAGTGATTATCAATTAGCGAGTATTGCACTCGATTTTCTTAATAAATACATGTTTTTTTTTTTTCGTTATATTCTCTTTTTACGCGCCTCTCTAAGGCATGAACACATTTTTATTAGAAACTTTAATACATTTTAGAATAGCTATAGTATATTTATCTTATTTCATACGACTAATTGTACAGCAGCTTTATATCACTGCTGCACGACACAGTAATTCTCAAAATTAGACTTTTAAGTACATTATTCATCAACAAGTAGTTACTTTATAAATTGCAAATCCGCTTTCCGCAAACTCTTACTTCAATGACAACTTAATTGATACTTTTCTCGTTACATCGTATGCATTATAATTAAACAACTTTTTAAGAGCAAAGGGGAGAGAAGAGTAAACTTACTGAATAAAGACAGTTACTTAACTCGAAATACTTATTTGTCAGTTGCCGTACGTAGTTGAGCAATGTGATTTGCTAGATCAACAAAAAAGTATACATTTTGATGCGTTTCCAGCAAAACACGATGTACATTTGTATATATATTTTTATACTATCTTATTGAGCTGAGTAGCGATACGAGGAGTCTGGAAATGAATTGGAGATTCCGAAATAAGATCACCGCGATCTCGGACGAATACGGACAGTACGATATTTGTAGCTATGATAGAGTGGGATGATCCGAAATCGACGCGTCCTCCGTGTCCTCCTCGAATTCGTTATCGCTGTTCAGGGACAGGTGCTCCCTTAAAACGAGAGAGCGCATCTGTTCCAGGACCTGATGCAAGGAATCCGACCTCTGGTCTATTCTATCGTTCAGAGGCGTAGCGTCGCCACTCGCCGTCCCGCCCGCAGGTGTCTGTGGCGTGTTACTAGGCGGTATGGGGGTATTCGTGCCGTCGCCTGTACCTATTAACACAACACAGTACGTCACATTTGACCAAGGATATCCTTACCGCGAATACGATTTTATTATTCCGCTTATTGCATCCTACCCATGCTGTCACTCGCAGGACTAGCCGGCCGCTCGGCGCCCCTTATCTCCCTCACAATCTCCTCGTCCTGCACATTGAGCCGTAATCCGGCGACTCCTTTTCTCGGGACGTTGTACAAATCTCTCTTGATTCTCCTCCGTCTGGAAGGATCGTTTCTACGCAACTGAAGCATCGAGCCGAAATCGGCGATGTAGAGGAATCCTGCGATCAGCAACTCGCAGGTCCTCTTGCCCTGCTTGTATGCCGTTTCTAATTCGATACTCGTACGCTGATCGTATTGCCACCAACCTGAAAGTATTAACTTAAGAGCCACTTGTTCCAATGTTATAATGAGATTTACAGATCATGCGTCACTCATTTACAAGTGAATTAAAAGACACATTGTGGAAAACTGTAGTTGGGAAAATATATAAAAAAAGATATATTTTTAGTACAATAGCTTTATTGAAAAAAAAAAAATGTATATATCTTTTTATGTTAAGTATCTTAGTTGTATAACATTTTATGGCAATTAACTTTTCACTTTTAATTGTTAACATTGTCAATACTTTGTATATTAGCATATATACATAACACTTGCGCACACATTCTATTTTATTTCCAATATCGTTTTTACTTATGCAATGCTTTATGATAAATGTATATAATGCTGTATGAAATCGATGTACGAACGTATGTTTGGTATGTTATCAAATACGGGGAAGGTTTGGAATTGGATCTTCAACTCTTAACAGGCAAATAATTCATTTCGCATTTTACATGCATTATCGTACACCCGAGACACCCTTGCATGGGGCATCTTTACTGTCACGTTTGATATTACGTTTGTAACGTGGATTGTGTTTTCTATATTGACACTTGTTTTCAAAGTCAATTACGTAAAGCATGCCACAGATCAAAAGTTCGCATTGCGTATCCCCTAGTTTGTAAATAGTCTCCAGATCATTGCTTGTCCTTGGATCATATTTCCACCAACCTAAGGAGGGGGTAGGATATCAAATTTTGTGCGCCCATGTATATGTAAATGCTTTAAAAGTATTTGCAAATTAGAAAAATTTACAACAAATGTATAACGTTGAATGAGATTTACTCGGAAGAATTTCCCACATCGACAGACACAAATGTACAAATTTAAATGTTGAAATGTACAAAAAAATGTAATCAAACAAATTAAATTGACATTTTACCATTTCGGCCTTCGTAAAACCATTGGTACTCTTCCTCAGGATGTTCCGACTCCTTCTGGGGCTCCTCGACCTCCACCAACTGAGGCCTCTCTAGAAAATCTGGCGGGATCTCTTGACGACACATCGGACATCGTTTGCTCTGATTAGCAACACCCTTTACGCACAAATAGCAGTAGATATGACTGCAGGGTAATCGCGCTGGATGAATGCAAGGCTGTAGGCATACTGCGCATTCTGGTACGACAGTGGGACCTAACGAAGCAACAGAAAGCTATAGGTTAATATGCGCGTAAAAAATTTATTCGTAAAAATAAAGTGACAAATTATGGGGATTTCTCATTAGGTAAAATTTTTGACAAGATTCGACACAGCTATTATGATATACTGTATATCATCAGCACTATATGTAAGAAAGATCTAACGCAATTATCATTATATATTATAATATATAATTAATATGTGTACAATTATTGCTGCATATTAAATGTTATATATTATGCAACTGTATGAATTTCAATATACAATAATAGCCGTGTAGGGCTTTCTTATCTAGAACTACATAATATATTATCGCACATAACATATCATGGAGTGCAGCCTCCCAAATGACGCGATGATTCATGCCGAGATATAACGACCGACGACAAGTACGTACCTTCCTTTTCCTCGGAATTATCCTTTTCCTTAATACCGCCGCCAGATTTCTCCGGTACGTCGAGCTTCGCTTGTGCCATGACGGTTTGTGGCAGGACGGATCGCGGCGATCGCCGGCAGGGTCAGAGCAGGGTCAGAGCCTCATCGACGTAACCGATTCCTCGTCCAGTTTGTAAACAGCAACACGCGTCTTGTCAATACTCGCGACGGTCGGCCATGTTGCTTGTTTATGACGTGTCCCGGGGCTCTCAACCTCGTGCGTGCCGCTCGAAGTTATCGCCGTCCCCACCCCGTTTCGTGTGGCGCCCCTGCTCGAGATTGCGATTCTCGCGGCCGCCCGCGATTATCGTGAACGCCGATCCGGCCGATCGGCGAGGACGGCGAGGTGGTGTGAAGATGCGACTGACGTGAGTGGAGACGCGATTGATGGACGCGCGCGGCATATACGTATATTGATCGGACTCGTATAGCTTCGCGCGTGGTATAATTTTTTCACGATAATTCCGGCGATAATTTCTTGCGTGATAATTCCGCCTTCCGACGATATATATATACGGAAACTCGCGCGGCGCGAATGGATTTTTTCGATACTCATCTTCTCGCCGCGATATCTTTTTCGCGTTGGCGGAACATCCGAGCGCGGGACGCGACGTGTCGCCCGAGGGAAAAGAAGTGATTAATTTTTTGCAAAATTACTTTGGAATTACGTGTGTTACACTCTCTATTGAATTGCGAATAAAGTTATCTTGATTTTTTTTTTTTAGGTCGACGAAAATATGAGCCAAAGAAAGAGCAATAGGAGAAACGGATTCGAAAGAGGTCAAATCTTTCTCTCGTTTTGCGACTCGACCGAATGTATCGAACGCGATATCTCCGCTGAGGAAAAATGGCGGGAGAACCGCGACGCCGCCGCGCCGGTGAGTAAGATATATTAAGGGGGTGGGGGGGGGGTAAGGTTAATTCGGTGAAAAAAAGGCATGTTTTTAAGAATTTTTTTTGGCGATACAGATAGTGTTAGTTTATTCAGTCAATTTCCATATAATAATGCAACATTTGAACAATATTTTCCTAAATTTTCATTGTAAAATATTGAAAATTGAGCGAATGACAGTGAATCTCCGGAGGCGCCTCGAAAAAAAGTTGTTTTGCGGTGTACATGATAACTCGCAACAGAAACAAATCATCTGAAACAAAAAAATCAAAATGCATTTGTTAAAGGAGATATTTCTCGAGGTAACCCTGGGAAGATTTTTTTTTCGATTTTTCAATTTTTCGTAGCACTTGGAAGCCAAAAAATCGATTTTCGCTAAAAAAAATCGGCTAATTTGTTAAGTAAAATTAATAATTATTAAAAAAAACAAAAAAGCTCCCAGGGTTACCTCGAGAAACATCTCCTTTAACAAATGCATTTTGATTTTTTTGTTTCAAATGATTCTGTTGCGAGTTGTGATGTACACGGTGTTTTTTCGAGGCGCCTCCGGAGATTCACTGTCACTCGCTCAATTTTCAATATTTTGCAATAAAAATTTAGAAAAATATTGTTCAAATGTTGCATTATTATATGGAAATTGACTGAATAAACTGACACTATCTGTATCGCCAAAAAAAATTCTTAAAAACATGAATTTTTTTTCATCGAATAAACCTTACCCCCCCCCCTTAATTAGCGGAAATAAAAGATAGAAGTTCCTTAGAAATCATTATTTATTCACTGCATGATCTATTGCGACGCACCTTCTCTCTCGTGCATGGTGGTGATGCTCTTTTATTCTGCTCTTACATCGTTATTAAACGTATATACAAGGCAGTCATACACACGGCAAATATATACGTACAAATATATATGTGTCTACCACGACGCTGTACAAAGAATTGATTGAGCCTTGACTAGGATGAAAGTCGTGACGCATGATGACTTCGATAAACTCTGATTGACTTGATTGTATATGGCTTTATCAAACAATTAGTATCTATAATATTTTATTAACATATATGGGTAGAATTATCACTTTTTTTAATTGCAAAATATATGAAAAAGAATTGATGACAGAAACAACAGATTATTAAAACATTTGCTTTAAGCGATTCTTATTCATTCCTTTAAATGTATATTGATTTTAATCTCAATTTAATTAATTTACTCTTTCTATTTTTTTAATTTTTGAAACTAAGAAAAAATAAAAAGCAATTTAAGTCGAGATTAAAGTTAATTTACATTGATAGAAATGAATATCTATCGGTTGAATTAAATTAACCGAAGTTTGGTCGAAATCGCTTTCAGGATAACTTCGACAATTAATGAACTCTTATTTACTTAATAAGTGACTGGCAATTATGAAGCAATATTCATATTATTTTGTTAACAGATAAAATTTTCTTTACTTAACGTGTATATAGAAAAACGAATTATATGTATAATTATATGAAAGTTGCTTTTCAGCTTGCATTTTACATGTATATATATTAATCGCCAATTTAGCTATTCGGAATATGCGATTGAAGTCGCTTTTAGAGTAACTTCGACAAAATCACTAATTTAATTAGTAATTGATTTATCGAACAATTGTACTATTTTGTTAATATACGGATAAGATTATTAATATTTTTATTACTTAATATTTAATGGAAAAAAATTAATTCCAGATGAATTATGTAATTAAAAATTTCCTTTGAATGATACTACCAGTTAATTTGATTATCAATGAAATTATATATTTAATCGAAGAGTTTGGTCGGAATCGTCCACAGCTTGGGACGAACGACTTATTCGTCGTATTAATCTCTAACGGGATAAAATCCTGGGGGAATAAAAAAAGAGACTTTTTTTATACTCTTGAGATTCTTTAAGAATGGAAAAATTGTGTTTTATGTGAGCTCGCTTTACAACAATAGAGATAAGAAATTATCCTATGAACTTACAAGATATTTTTACAAGCACCCTCATGAGATTGTATGAATTTGAGCATGACAGCTTTCTATCAGCTGTAAAAGAGACCGTATCGAGCTCGTCACTAGTCACTAGTCACTATTGTTAAGCTCGTTATCACGTTTCAAATCCTTATTAGCAACTATAACGTCTTGTCACGAGTAGTAAAATTCGCCGATCGCGATTATTGGTCCGAGCGAATCTTTTCTGATGAAACTATTTAGCTTATAGCTCGGTGCGAGCTATTAACACGAGCCTTTTGAGAAGCGGATAACTCTGTGATAATGAAAGATGAACTGAAAATGGAAAATGTCAATTGTGTTAAGTGCATAAAGTGCGCTTTTTAACATTAATTAAGTCAATCAACAGATAATTATTTTTGTATCAATTAAAAACAAACGATTATAATTTATTTAAAAGATAAAAGCCTAAAAGAAAATGTCTAACATGTTCCAAATATACAAACTTTTCTGATATACATATGTCTCTGACGTATATTATATTGATGTATAATACATTGTATTTTAGACTTTCATACTTTGATAATTAATCTATCACGGTTTTCTTTCTCTTTCTTTATCTGTTTGATGTAATAATGTGCATATTAAAAAAATATTCATAAAATGATTTTTATGAATTTGGCACTCAACACGTTCGAGACTTTCCGATTTGATCGGGAAATATGACTTGTCGTTCCTGTGAATATTCACAATAGTCCTTTAGAGCAAAGTATGGATAATTCACGATCAATCCAATGATAACACTGATTCGACAGAGGATTTATGCCTCGATGGTAAAATTGGGCCACCAAGATAGCTCAGTGGATTGCCGAAAGTTCGTTGGCCGTCCGGCAAGAAGATAGGAGACGTATTGAAAGTTATCGGCTTGCCTGGTACTAAAATGAAATAGTCTTCGTAATTACTTATGTCTGTCCGATTGAGCGAATTTTTCTCAAAATTTCACTTATAAGTGTTTCATAATTATTTAAAATATATTATATATATACAATTCAAAATATATATCTTTAATTATTCTTGCAGTGATTAAAGTAGCGACATGAACAAAATAATTGTAATTATATCTCGTAATTATTTTTTATAAGACTAGTAGGAATTTGAATGTTTCTCAGATTATCATGAATAAGAATTAATAATCTATTTCAAATTTTATTATTTATATGTTATTAGAATTTTTTGAATCAAAAGAGGAAGCGAAATTTTTTTCTTTGTGTTACTGACCTAAGTAGTTTCCTTGCATCTTCGATCGTCTTCCAATGTCTCCGTCCGTATAAGGCGCCTAAATGAAGCGAAAGTTTTTTTAAAACACTCAATATCCCGCCGAAAGAATATATAAATTCATTCCGTTTTCCTCAATTTTTTTAGTTAGTGCATGTATGCAGCAAACACGCTCAGACACTTCAAATGGACTTGCCTCGTAGAGCCTCAGAGGTTTAATTCTGTAGCTCAAAGCGTGCATGCGATGAAGTGAATGTTTCTCACGTGCCACGAACAAACCCGTTTCCGACATCAGGCAATACGGGTTAATCGCTGTCAATGTACTCGTGCAGATTTGCGACAAAAGGCCTCATCGATGTCCTCGTGGAGCGTTTCGTAAATCGATGATTAGTTTAACCTGGGAATGGCTGCACCGGTTGTAATTTACATCGAGCATCGATGACTTTATGTCAAGCTCAGATCTCGATTCAAACGCGTGGAAATAATTTTATTTCGTTGCAATACAAACTGCGACAATTATATTTCTTCGTGACATTCAAAGCTGAACTTATATCAAATCATTTAGAAGACAGATTTTTTAGGTTTTATTCCGTAGATTCTCCAGAAATTCAGGAAAGATTGAAGAGATTCTTCGATCAAACTCCTTGGATTTTTAATCAATTATTTTCTCAAGTTATAAAAGAAATTAAATTATTATATCGGATCGTCATGCACATGCTTACCTAATAACGGGAGAAAAGATAATTTGTCATACAAAATGCGTTGCTTACAACACTCATAGATAACGTGTAAAATACAACCTGTCGAATTATTTGTTCATTCCCGGGTTAAGAGATTTCGTCGTGAAAAAAGGCGGCGGACTTGCAAGAAGAAGCTTTTGGCGGTGTAGGAGAGAGCGTGAGAGATGGTTACAGCGATGCAACAAACTCGAGTTAATGGAAAAAATCGTATATTTCCTCTGTCTCTTCTCGTTCTGTATATAACATGCTATAAAATGTATCTCAAGATTCACGGATTATTGAGTTAAGAGCTTCTAATTATCTCAGAAGAATATACTATAAATTTTTTGTCATTCGGAATGAGATGCATCATAACGTTTGTATCGAAAAGGAGGGAAGTACATTTGAACACGCACATATCTCTTTTGTTCGCCAGCTTGATCTCATAAACGGTTAATATAATTAATAAATAATAAAAAGAAAACGACAAAAATAAAAATGCAGAAATTGTCAGAAGTGAAATCGCAAAACGCTAATAGCTCACTGATCAAAATTTTAGGATAATAAAATTTTTTATATTAATTTTAATGATGACAAAATATTTCTTGATATAGCTAAATTATTATTTTTTGTGTATATATAATCGTTTGTATTAAAAATAATAATTTAGCTGTATATCAAAAAATATTTTGTCACGATTAATTGTAATACAACTCAGGCAGGCGGTCCCCTGTCGGAGATTTGCCAACGATACGCAGACCAGGTCTCCATTGTGTCTTCTCCGCAAACCAACTCCAGGTTGGGCCTGGAAAATTCCGAGCCCTACGCAAAGACCCAACGGTAGTCGTCTGTATTAGAGGTTGTAGTGACAGCCTTCACCGTCACCAGACACTAGGCTCCCGTTCACATTTCACCCCCATGCCGGACACCAATCCTTCTCAGCCCTGCGTCAGATACTAGGCTTCGGACACTGCTTCAGTGCCTGCGTCGGACACCGGTCCTATCTCAGCTCCCGTGCCAGACACCAGGCCCCGCGTCAGACGCCAGGTCCGTCTGTACCGCTCACTTCCCCTCTTTTTACCGACAGATGTTCTTGTTAATTGGCAAAAATATTCTCAGTGGTTTGTCTTGCCAGCGATCGCTTTGAGATCGATTTTAAAATCGATTTTAGATTCTGGGTAGATTTGAACCTGAATCTTCGGCATAGTAAGCTGTCACGCAGCGCCCTGTGCCATGATCGTCGTTGGTCACGATTAAAATTAATATGAAAAATTTTATTATCCTGAAATTTTGATCAATGAGCTATTTGCGTTTTGCATTTTACAATTTCACTTATACACAAGAAATAATAATTTAGTTATGCAAGCCAAGATGCGATTATCGAGCTAACATTCGTACAAATTATCATTGACGTGCATGACACATCGTACCTCTATAATTCGCATGATGTTTTCGTTTCATCGTCATGTTTTAAAATGGAATCTAACGGTATAACACTCTCCTCAACATTAGACCAATCCCTGTGCTGAAAGTATGCCTGATATATTAAAGTCGAAAGTATTCAAATCGGATTTTAGATGATTCGAATTTTTGCGATACAATTAAAATTCACAAAGCATATCGCGAAAATCCGAATTATCTAAAATCCGATTTGAATACCTTAGACTTTAATATATCAGGCATATATGTATATCGCATGATTATTTTGTGTGATCGCCACCAAAAGCACACAAACGCCACATTTTGTACGATTGCACGAAGCAGCGAAATCAAACTAAAACAGACTCGCGAGTGTACACGTAAAGCAAACCATTAGAATTATTATATCTCTAAGTTCTTAAAGACTTCAAATTCGTGATATTTGTTCAGAATTTTATTAATATCTGAATAGTTTTATCTTTTTAGTGTACACTGCGGTCGATGACAATAACATAATTATGCTATGGTGACTTTTTTTAGTTAATTGCGTGGCATATCAGATATAATCAGATATATTTTAAAAATATACGAATATTTAATCAATAAAATAATATTTTATTTTAAAAGATTATTTTAAGGCGATGCTGGAAGATCGGAATTATCAACACATTGCAATCGTAGAGATTTCTCCAAAATGACAGAACGGAATTGAAAACCCTTTCACAAGATTCAAATAGACATAAAATGTATTTTCGGGACACAGGAATTTGTTGCAAAAACGAAAAAAATGAAAAATTACACATAAATATCTTAAAGATAAAACTACGTGATTCTTTATCTCGAATATATGGGTATGTTACTTTTAGCTCGTTATCTCCTTAAAAAAAAATTAAAAATAAAACTACGTGATTCTTTATCTTGAATATACATATGGGTTATCGTCTTATGTCATACGTATTCGTTGAAAATTTACTCTCAATGTTACTTTTATCTTGTTATCAAGTTATTTTAGAGGCACTAGAGTCTTAAAATAATCTTTTAAAATAAAATAAGATTTCATTGATTAAAAATTCGTATATTGTATTTTTAGAATATATCTAATTATATCCGATGCCACGTAATTAACTAAAAAAAGTCACCACAGTATAGATTTATGTTATTGTCTAAAAAGCTATCTTGCTACTCTCATACTACAGCTAAATTGTATATTATCTTAAAATTTATATTGTATGTTTTATATTTATATTAATAAGTTATACGTGATTGTCGTTTAAGAGCGCTTTAAGATCGCTTCACGCGATATTTATAATAGTCGAAAAACGCGCGACTACTTTTGGGAACTCAATTATTGTCGTCAATTTGATAAATTGTTTGTGTCGATTTGATTAAGCGCGATCGGCGACGCCGACGTAGCCTCTGCCTTGAGACTGGAGACTCACTTCGTCACCATTGATCAACTTCACCGTGACCTTCTCGGGCCGAACTACACCGCGCAGTTTTCTGAGCGGCGCGTTGAGAGCGAGACTCATCGGTCTCTTCGGCACTGCGCTTTTCGTGGTGTCACTTGCTCTCAGTATTACGCGCTCGGTTTTGATCTCATTCAAACCTGTCACGGAAAAGTTCGTCTCGAGCAAGGCCTCCGTTTCGTCTGGGTCCAATTCGTCAGTCAAGGAAGCTCTTCTTGCCGTCTTGTTTCTTACCGGCATAACGAGAAGCTCGTCATCTTGATCGTTACTCGCATCCTTTTGCTCCTCTTGCTGATGCGGTTGCTCTTTGTCCTCTGCTGCTGCCTCCGACTCCTGAGTGTCCTCTTCCTCTTCTTCCTCCTCCTCTTCTTCCTCGCGTTCTTCCAGCTCGGGTTCCTCTCTCAGATCTTCCATTGACTATTGGAGAAAAATAAAATGCCTGATTCCTTGAATTGCGATGCTACAGACAATATTATGCTACGTTTATTGGGCATTGCGGAAGAAAGCGTGGAGTTGTGTATGAAAAAATCGTATTTAGAGAAATTAGACTGAAAATGAAAATTTATCTCTGTTATCTCGATTTAGTGCTTGTATATTTTTTTTATGATGCAATATGTCGACAGATTTAGTGAATTGTGAATATAGTACGAAATCAGATGCAAAAACGATATGCCTTAAAGAAGAAGCATTCAGTCAGTTTATTTTTACTTTATGCGTTTAATGTATTTGTATAAAGAAATGCTCATATAATTGATAATGTGGATGAATGCAAATAAATCAACAATTTCGACAAATACATGCAAAGCTTTTTGCAAGCTTGACAAAGCTAAATATGCATTTTTTTTTACGAAAAAAAGAAAAAATCTTTACGAATGGGTTTGGTTTCACAGGTTTAATGACGGTGCCTGTATTTACCCCTAGGAGCTCCTTTTTCTCTGGTTCTTCGTCTGCTGTAATGCACACAAAAATACAAATATTGATTAACTCTTGATAGATAAAGCAAAATTTATGGAAAACAATGCATATATTAGACACTCTTATATAATATATCTTTTCTTTCATTTTCAAGAACATTTAAATAAAAGATCTCTGTTGTTCTTTTTGACGAACTTCAATGCAATATATTAGTATGATGAGTATAATGTTTCAAATATTTTATAAATGATGTATTGAATTAGAATTTTTATTATTAGATTTTATTTGATAAGAAATCCGAAGAAATCCGAAGGAAAAAAAAGTTTTATTCTAGTACTAACTCATGTTTTCTATCTACGAATCGAAATAGATCAGAGTACCTTTTATGTGAACTTTTTTATCGTTCATTAAGTCCTTCGGTTCCGTATTCGGCAGTGATTTGTATTCTTTGGCATTGGACACTTTCACGTGAGTCCCATTCGGCCTCTTGTCGTCGTCCATCACGTTTTTGAAGCCGACCGTTTTCACGCCGCTCGCAGTGACCAGGGATTCCGTGTACTGCGGCTGCCATCTGTGCGGATCGGAAGCGGTGGTCGCAACCGCTTCCGAGGCCTCGTCGCGTCGTCGTTGACGATCCTTGCGTGCGCTTCGCCACACCTCGTAAATACAACCGAGCACCGCGGCCACGAAGACGCAGCACAGGGCTATGAAGATGTATGTTCCCGCACCCTGCTCCTCCTGAGTAGCGTCCGAATACTGCGATTTGTAAAGGATTTTTTCCGGCGGATCCTCGACCCACGCTTTGTCACGGCCCTTTAATGAGATATTTTGCAGCTTAATGTATTTATTACTTTTGTACCGAAGAAACATTGTTTATGACATTGTTAGGCCACTGGTAAAATCAGTATAATATTCAAGAAAATTTATAGGGGTTTAAAGTTTTAATTTGGTGAGAGCATAACAATTAACTATATTAATTGATTATTTACATGACTAATATATTTCAATTAATATATTTATTAATATATTTCAAAATATATCAATTAAGCAACAAAGATTATTTAACAATTTACTATCGTTTGAAAAGTGCAAATTATTTTAAATTTAAAACACATAGCTTTACTATCTTGTTTTCTTATTAGATAATAGGTGTATAAAGTTATGTATGCGAAACTGATTTTTGTTTGATAAGATATCGAATATTCGAAGTTTCTCACCACGCTGTCGTTCTTAGGTGGTTCAAAACCGCCTGGTTGAACATGGAAGACCGCACATTGAGCACTTCTAACGCCGGCGGGTATCGTCGCCCGCACGGTCTCACTGCCCTGTTTTGTAAAGAGCATATATTCTTCTAGCGGTTTCATGTCGGTGCCTCCATTGATCGATATCACGACGTCTAAAAGAAAAGCGCAATTTGCAGTTTGTCATATACGTTCGTTTTGTCTAATATAAGAGAAAATATTCGGATAGATGGACGACACAGCAATAAATTTAGTAACAGGCGCTGATTGAGAAATTTCAGAGAAAACTCACTGCTAAGGCAGCCGGTGTATCCTTTATAGGCGGTAAATCGCGAATCGGTGGTGTTCAATCCACCAAGCTGTATCTCTGTGGCACCCGGAGTTTCGTCCTCGTCTTGCATCGGTATTCCCGGAATTGGTAGCAATTGGACGGGCTCACGGTCGATCTAAAGTTATATGTACAATACAGTATTTTATAATATGTAAAAGTCCTAAGGGGAAATACAAAAGAAATAATAGACTGACTAAGAGGATGGCCGTGTTGTTATCGCGAACATAGTAGACGCTGTGACGTGCACCATTCAGGAAATTCCGATCGCTCAGGCGCACTCCAGCCGCGGAACCATCCCTGTCTTCTTCGAAGATGAGTTGCCCCTCGGACGTCAAGGCCACCAATAAGTAATAGCTTCTTCTGGAAAAAAGTTCTTTGAAAAACATCCAGGCGCCGGTGATTAATGTCAGAACGGTCGAGTATTAACGCGAGGATTAAGAAAATATTAAGATCGATGCTTTACTTGTTGTCGGTCTGTACCAGCAGCAACGCGGTGGTTCGCTGTCGTAGTTCGTTCGTTGAGAATGCCAGCTGTACTTTCACCTGATTCACTTCGCCCTCCAATTCGAATTCGCGCTGAAGTACACTTTCCCCACTGAAATCGGCGCCCTTTTCTGTGTGAAAAGACAATTTTCATGCAGAAAAATCAAAACTTTTGTACTGCTTTGATAGCTTTTCTATAGAATAAAGTAATCTACTTCATGCAAATATTATTCTGGAGTATTAATAGATTTTTATTTCTTCGGAAGAGGTAATTTTCAAGTTTCGAAATGTATGTCTAAAGATTACGTCTGTAAATCTTCAGATGTTTTACAATCTTTAGATTTTTTACTCTTTAATGGCCATTTCGACCAACTCTGATTAATTTTAATCAATGATTAACTCAATCGTTTAGCTAATTAACTGATGCTATTTATCATCATTTTGACGTCAAAATGACGACACAATATGATTAACTTGTTACTTGGATTGAGTTATCGTCGACAATCAGAGTTGGTTCTGGGACTTCGATTTTTTTATTTACATTTTCGCGTTTAGTTCAAGTACTTGAAAAGTACTTCTTTTTAAATCCGACAAGTAATAACAAACAAATTTACCATCGGCACAATGTTCGCCAAAGTAAGACGTCAGCTCGCAATTACAGGAAGACTCCTGTCTACCGAAATCTTCCGTGCAGATTCCTAAATTTTTGCAAGGCATCATGTCGCATTTCATTTGACAATTCGGTAGAACACCTTTACTCCCTTCATGATTCGCTTCGCTGGCTAAACTCGGTAGATCGATGCGATACTTGCCGATCATTAGTCCTCGTAAGCAACCAATGTAACCTTGAATTAAGGCTCCTTCTTTTCCGACTCTGAGCAGATTGGAATCGAATCCTCCTAAATTTACCTGAATAAATATTTATTAATTATTGTTTAGGTAGATAAATTTTGGTTTATATATATATATGTATATTGTATCAATATAAATAATCAACAAATAATCCAAATAGTCATTTTTCGCATTATAATAATTATGCTTTATAATATCCGATATGTTTTATAATTCCTTATTTTTTTTGTAAATATAAAAAAAATTTAAGCAAAAGTTGTTTGTTTTCAAAAGATTTATATCCTGTTTAAAATTTTAGATACAGGTTTCCGGAAAACCGAAATGCCATTATTAAATAAGCTTTGGTGAAATGAAAATTGTTTCCGCAATTTCTGACAACCATTTATTGCCGCTGAAAAAAGCCATTGAAAAAAAGGTGATATGGATGATCTGATACACTCTTTATACTTATATATGATACAGGGTCGGTCAGACAAACGAGAAAATTTAAAGGGGTAAAGTAAAAACTTCTATAATATAAAGACCCACTTGGAAATAATCGGCAGGAGGTGCCGGCGGCCGTTGCGGCGCAAGAACTTCTTTCTCTGGATTTGTCCAAGGTTGATTTGAATACGTGTTCAGAAATACTGGTGTTGCATTTAATGTGACGTTATATTCGTTCACATATAATGTAGTCCAATTCTTGTCTCGAATTATAGCGATCTGTATGGAGATTCCCGTGTTGACATCTACAAAAATAGATTATTTCTGTATAATATCTAATATGTATGTCGCATACATTTCACTTGAATATGAATTTAGCTTACTAGGATTTTCCACAGTGATATTTTTTATCTCGTTGCCAGCATTGAAAAGGTATACGATGTTGGTACCGTTTGAGATGTAGAGATGCGCAAAATTGTTCAAATGATCGTTTGCATACAGTATCAGAGAATAAGTATCGTAAGTTCTTAAATTAATTAAAATATTTTCCTGTAGCATGCTTTTCAGTTGTGATTTCTCCTCGTTGTCGTCTGATCCAAAGTAATTCTTTCTCAAGAATGCTCCAGGTGAGGTGAACGTCAGAGCTCTGTCGTTGATATCTGGTTTCAGAAATATTATTTTAGTACGAGTTATTTAAAAAATATCTTAAATTTATATTATTAATTTGAAAAGTATTTGGAAATAATTTTCTCGAGTTATTTACTTGTCTCGCAATAAGTGCCTATGTGTGCCCATTGATTTTCGCACACGCATTCGAAATTACTCCACAACTCGACACATCTAGCGCCGTTCTGGCACTTATTAGGTTGACACGAAGGCTTGCAGTCTTTGATGATTTCCGACAGATGTACCGACATATAACTATGGATGTCTAATATTTCTCCGTTGACAACGAGACCACGAAAGCAGCCGATTAGACCTTGTTGAACGGAGGAAGTCTTCGAGTGCTCTCTAAAAATTCAAAGTTGATTCAAAGCTAACGAAATCGAACCAAAATCATTATTTATTATTCATTATCATTATTTATTATAATAAATAAATTTATTGTGACAAGTAATTATCAATCATTAATTATATTATTATCAATTATTTGTGAAGTTACTCACGCAGTAGCACCGCCGATGAACATGGATCCCTCGAAGGGTCCGAATTCTTCTTCGGGAAGCAAATCCGCCATTCGAAAGTCAGTGTTGATCATAAATCTTACGTGATAGTCGTTGTAGTCGATCCAAATCTTCTGCCACTCGCCATTATTCAGTTTTCGTCGGCTATCCACTTGTAATTCGCGATTGGTACCGGTATTTAGGGTGAAATTAAAAGTCAGCCGATATTCTGACGTTAGAGCGACCATGAAGGAGGGATAGTTGCTCCGAATCGGCGGTTGATACAGAAGAATAGCTTTCTCGCCTGTCGTTCGAAAGCTGAAGGCTATATCACCTTTCCTCCAACCAGGTACTTCGATATACGATTGCGATGTCGTGAACGTTACCACGTATTTCTGTGTATCTATCATCATTAATTAATCTCACAAATTTGTTTTCAAAAATGTCTACAGATATTACACATTTACATTTATCACAAATAATTGCTCTCAAAGTCTTTTTATCGCTTAATTTATTTTATTGCTTACTTCTAAGAATAAAAAAGAATTATGTTAATTAAATAGGAGACATATAGCTTCTAATATTCATATTATTATATGTATTTGCTTACTCGTTTCAACGCATTCCAATGGCCCTAAAGTGATACGTCCCCGAGCATCTTCATCGAGATCTCTCTGTTGCAAGAATACCATTCCGGTAATGCCTAAGGAATCAGGTGTTTCGTAGTGTCCCTCATCTGAGAGCCACTTTCCGGCGTTTCCGGCGGACACGTCGCAGTTACAGCTCAAGTTGGAGTTCACGCATGTTCTGTTCACTAAAGTAAAATTAATAAATAACAATCTTCGCCAGGCAACGATTAAATCTTTGCAAACATATTTTTTTTAATTTATCACTACAAAAGTCGCATTAAAAATTTAATTAAGAAAGAACTTACTTCCGCAAGGGCAGGATCCGCGATTCACGTTTCCAATGTAATCGACGGTGGTATTTTTGGAGCCCAGAAACCACGTGGCGCTGTGCAGCTCCAAGGGTGCCTTGTAACAGTCATACTTTACATATTGACTGCAATAAAGCGAATGCGAGATCAGCTCCTGAAGCATTTCGGCGGTGAACTGTCTATACTTGATGTTGAAGGAAAAGTCATTTTCAGTGATAGATCTCACGTCCACTTGGGAGGGTAAATTGTGCTCAACGATTGTTTTAGTTGAATCTTCGATCGATTGGAATTCGCACTTTACTAAAGCTGGCGGGAATTTACCGTTTCCATCGATGTCGATTTTATAAACATCGTCTTGCGTGTACCCCAGAAGAGCTAACTCTTCACATGTTTTTCTGTATTGTGCTATAAAAAGCGGTATTAAAAATCAAATTTAAATTGTAACAATACAATAAAATAATTTTTATTTTCATTTTTTTATTTGCTGTATAATTATAATTACATAATGTGAAACCTATTTATATAAAAGTAATCTACTTTTAAAGAGAGAATAGGATTATTATTATTATAATTATATGTATAAACGCTTTTAATTTGAAACTCTAAATTAATTTTATAAATTATTTTATAAAGTTATAACCATTCAAAGTTGTACAATTAATAAAAATTGACTAATTGTAACTGTTAAGAGCATTAATTTATATTATTAATAATTTTTTTTTAGAGAAGGATTTTATACTTTTTTGTTTTTAGCGAGTATTGATACTTAGATTGTTGAATTAAATATTTATCGCAATTTGTCTTACCAAAGTGGCAGTTCTTTCCTATATATCCAGTGTCTGTGCAATCACACGTGATCCTGTCTTCTTTGACCGAACATTTACCGCCATGTTCGCAAGTGTTCGGCCTTTTGCACGGATCCACAAATTGACAATTGTCTAAAGCGACTTCTCCGACCACTCTGTCGGTGTTAATTACCTGCCTAGGTTCGATTCTTTGATTGTTTACTCGTATCTCGCGCATACATCCTACTAGACCTAATAGTATAATTGCTGATATAAGAATCTTTTTTACGTTCATGTAGATTTTTAATCTTCTGAATTTAATATTAGATCTATTTACCCGCGTTACTTTTACCACTTCCTATGATAACTTTATCATCCAACTCAAACGTAGTGAGGGCCTTGTGCTGCTTAATCCTGTAATCGAGAAGAATGTTGATTTCGCCCTTTGTGTAATTAAGCTCAACCGCGTGCCAGGAAGTGTTGTAAGGCGGAAACTTCACCGAAGTTGACACCGTGATGTTCTCCGTTATAACTGGTACCAATTGGAAACGAATTTCGTCATTGACTTGACGTAACTATAAGCATAAAGGAATATAAATTATTAACAGAGGACAAGAAAAAAAACAAAAATACAGCAGTATTATTATCGTACCTCCCAGTAACCAACACCGAGGTTGCTCTTTACATTTCCGGAAGCGACAATCGCAATTGGCTTTGAACTTTTAAAGTCGAAGTTCAACTTCAACGAATCGGTTCGCTCGATCGGCCACCAGATGTGGCTTCCCGCGAAGGGATATGTGATCGGAATGACTTCGACGTTGGCTTCGTAATATTCCGGCTCCAGCACACCAATGTAGTGCACCATAGGGTTGGAGCGCTTCAATTCGTATATAATCGACTTGTCGTTGAAGAACACGTACTTCAAGGAACCTGGAAAAATTGAAAATTTTATTAATTAATGGACAGGATTATTCAATTAATAATTATCCGTCAGATATTGTTGATAGTTTTATCAAACCTGCAAAATTATTGTGCGACAAAAGACCCTTCTTCTTGTGGAGTTCTGGACCACCGCCGATGTATATCTCCGGATCGATGATTATATCCCAATTTTCTCCCGGTACTTCCAGTACCTTCTTCTCGTCGTCTAAGCTGACGAAGACGGTAGACCCGTTATGGAATATGGTCAAGTTGTTCCAATGATCGGACGTGACGTCACTGCCCAACGTGGTGGAGATCTTCGAATTATGCCCGAAATCGAGTACAACGTGAACTGATGCATTTACAATGGAAGCCGCGATGTAGTGCGGCGTGCCGTCGATTTCACCGGAAGCGTAAAATAAGGCGGAATCGTCCCATTTTGTCTGAAATTTATCGATTTTTTATTAAAAACCAGAATACGAACTTTTTAGTCCTCTGATATTAGATATCAGATGACATAATATTTTTAATATTTTAAATTTTGTTGTCACAATTTGTCGCAGTAGGTAATTTATTTGTCATAGTAATCTCCGTACATCTCTTTCTTTCTGCGATGAGAAAAGTATTCAGTGACAATAATTGTATATATTCAGCGTGCGACAAATTTCATTGTGTTCGCACAATGACCCATCGCGATACAATTTGAGAAGTGAAACTCGACACTCTCTCGAAGAGTTTCCACGGTGAATTTTCGTCATAGAGAACGGTGGACAAAAGCAGCTGCTCGTGAAGGTACAAAATGCGCCCTCCCGCCCCCTCCACTTCTCTCGACAAAAAGATAGCGTCTCGCTATAATGAGTCCGCGACAAGGGAAAGGGACACGATCCCATTACAATAAGCGCCCGTGGTCAAATACCTTAAAAGCGAGGCTGATCCTGTTGACAGACGAGTGAACACGATCCTTCCAATCGTACACGCGGAACGACACGTACGAGGAGCCTCTCAGCGTCAGTATAGTGGCGGCTGAAAAATGATGTTACATTTCAAACTCCATTAGTTTCGTATTGGAATATCCGGACCCTTTTTAAACGTGCATGAAAGCGCTATCTCTTCTTCGGCTGACTAATACAATTTATAGTATATTTATCGTTTCTATTCCATTAAATTCCTTAAGTAAATAACTAAGAGGGTTTCGAAACAAATCTTAGGAAAATTAATGAATTGATTATATTTGAAATATAAATATAATGTCTAGTAAAAGGTACTTGTATTAAATTCATTTACTTTACGTACTGTATACATCGCAACGTTCGCCTTCGTAATTCGTGCCGAAACAGTCGCACGTCAGACTATTGTAGTGATTCACACATTGATCGGGGACGAAGCACAAGTTCTCTTGTGTTCTGCACCTAAATTAGAATTGAAGATTATAGCGAATTACTTTATTCCCTCTCACCAAATTCTCTTATTTTTTTTTTTTAAGAAAAATACGTACTTATCGATGCATCCTTCCTTAACATTCTCGTGCTTGGTCGCGATTAATGGCCGAATGGGCAGCAAATCGCTGGCGGATTTTCCGGAACTCAGAACCATATCCCTGATGCAACCGACAAAGGATTCTATTATGTACTTCACCCCGTGTAATCGTTCTTCGGAACTCAGTCCTGTCAAAACGAAAATAAAGCGATAAAAATTTGCGCTTAAAGGGGAGGTATTTCTCGAAGGAACGCTCTCCTCACCTCCGATAAGAACGACCGAGGCCAGTTCTTCGGATACCCCATAATTTCTTAGCTTCTCGCTTTTTAAAACTTTCAGAGTAGTCTCGGCCTGCTTATCGTCGACTTTAGCGATTAACTTTGCCCCGTGCACGTCGATCCTCACGAGAACGCTATGCCACTCGTCTCTGTTGAGCCCTTGGCCGACTGTTAAGCTAGTCGATTGCTTGCCGAATACATGAACAACTTTCAGCTGACCCTTCTCTACTATCACATAAAGGGCGTAAGGCTGGAGGCCCTCTGGACGATCTTTGACACTGTGATAAACTAGTAAACCGTGTGGAAGCTTGGTGCGAAACTTGAAAGATATCTCGCGACATAATCTGTGATATATCAAATAAAATGTGTAAAATATATATATTATTTTCTTTCGTGTTACTAAAATAATATAAAATAATTATAACATATAAGATCTTTAAACGATACATTAAATTAATAAATGTATTAAACAATATATTGTATAATATATTTTACCTCGAAAATTGGAAAAGATTCAACGCTCAAGATTAATAGATAATTCAGATTGTCCTGAATGCTTACCTCAATTGGAAAGTTTTAATGCCAGGGCCATCGAGCTGGATGAAAGTATTACTTTGTGCGAACATAAATGTTTTATCGTGACCAGATTCCATAAAAGTCAACTCCTTCGGTAAAAATATATGGTGAATGTAATTTTTCTGCTTTGCGTAAAACGTGACGTATTTACATAAAATGACGTGGTCTTTACCTTTCCTCGTAGATGCCTCGGTACTGGCGGTTTCGTCGGTTTCGGGGGTGTAAATGTCGGTCGTGGTGTGGTGGTTGAGGATGGTGGAGTGCTCGTTGTCGTGGTGCTCGTTGTGACAAATACGTTACTCTTTGTTACATGAGGCGGTAGCGTATCTAAAAATAGTCAATAAAACTGTAGCAATTTTTCCATTACTTATTAAATATACAGATCTACAAGAATATAAATATAGATCTACAAGAATTTTTATATAAAAATATATCTTTAATCTATTTTAATTAACAAATATAGATATGTCAAATGATTTATAAATATTCCTAAACATGAACAATTTTCAGCTGATTCTTCTCTGCTATCACATAAAAAGACTTAAGGCTGGAGTCTCTTTGGATGATCTTTGATACTATGATAAACTAGTAAACATATTCTTATCTTCTAAAGTTCAATTTTTTTAAAATTGTTATTTTAAACATTGTATTTAATTATCATTAATAATTTGATTTAATTACCATTAGTTTTTACTATTTATTTTTTCAGTGCAAATATATTTATTTTTTTTACTCATTTTTTTTCGAATTTTATATTTTCTCTTAAGCATAATTGATTAATAATTATAGTGTACAATTATTATAAACATTTAATACATTTTTGAGGAAATATATATCTTACGATCGGCACCACCGATGCAATAATATAGACACTCCGCTTCCGAGTTAAACCGATTTTCATTTCCCATACAACCGCCGTACGGAAAAGTTCGGCACTTTCCTTCGGCCTTGTTGAAGGTCCATTTGTGAACGTAGTTCTTGCAGGGTCCCGATTCTGTCTTGAAAAGACATCTGTCGGGCAAAATCCTTTTGGTAGTAATTTCTTCCGTCTCTTCGACCACATCCGTTTTTGGCGAATCCGTCTGATTCGCCGGCAACTCTGCGACTACGTTGAGCAAGACAAAAATCCCGAGGATCCTCTTATCGCGGTAGATCATCGTTTCTCGTTCGCTGAAAGAGCAATTGAATTTCCTGACTGACTTATATAAGATTTTCGCAAGTACCAATACAATAGATTCTTTAAATTTAATTATCGAATTACATTTTTAATAGCATACGTGTGTGCATACTCTATTTTAGTTTTGTATAGATGCTAATTCTTATAGCATTAATAAACAGTTGAATATATAGATATTTAATTAATATGTGACACGCGTATACTCTTAACAATACTTATTAACAATACTCTAACTATGTTCGGTTAATGAATCACGAATTGCCTCTAATCGCTATTCGATGAATCAGTCTAATTAAATTTGCAATGTGTTGAGCTTAAGAACATTCAATTTAATCATATTCTTATATGTGTCAGACACTCGAGATAGGTATCTAAGAAAGGCCGTTATTCGAATAGTCACTCTTCGATAATATAAGTTTATTTATCTAGTGTTGTCAATCGCTTGGAATCGACTGCCGAAAGTGCCGAATTCTTCGCAAGTTACCGCTGCATCGCGCGTGTTTACGTCAAATTTCGGTTACACGCTTCGTCCTTACACGTGTTAATTATATAGTTTTAAAGGCTGGAAAAAAACCGGTTTTTTTTTTCATTTTTCCACGGATTGTTTCAGTTTCTTTCCTAAGGAGTAGAAAAATTCAATGAAAAATTTCACGTATATATTCGTAAAACTTATCACATTTCACATTTGCAACACTTTGATGCACTTTTTAAAATTTTTAAATTTTATAATATATTTATTGCTAATAATGTTAAGTAACAAAATAAATAAAAAGCAAATCACACAAGAATAAATAAAGAAAAAAACAGAATTAATGTATTTTTTAAATAAAACGTACGTATGGCTCTTGACAATTATTAATAATCAAAACTCATTAAAAATATTTATATAAATATTAACTTAAATTAATCTAAACGTACGGATCAACTAATTAAATTGTATTTTTTTTAAATATATTGTATATGTAATTTCATTGCGCACCAATTTCCGCGCTGACTCGTATTCGCTGCTTCTTTCTTTCTTTTATATTTAAATTAATCTTTACACCCTAATTGTTAGGATTACGTTTGTTTCTAAAACAGTTTATTTAATAATGAATAATCTTTATTTCAAAGAATATAGTATTCCAAATGTAAATATAAAAATTAACTCATTATTAATTTCATTTCAGCGTTTGTACGAGGTGTCTTATTTTAATAATATTATAAAATACGAGAATTACTTATAAGAGTTATAAGTTTATATCTAATTTAAACAAAAAATTTACACATTTTAACGAGCAAATTAAAATAAATCACATAAAGGCACTTACATTATTTTCTGAATCCCAATTAATATTTATTATGATGAAAAATATTAACAATTAGGTAGCATATCGTTTACACAGTAATTTTTCGCAAAAAAATTAATTTTTCTGGTTTTTTTCCAACAATTTGAAAAAAAGCAGTTTTATTTAAAACTATACAGTGTAATTCTATATTTGGCACGCACAGAAAATTCTAAATAATGCGAAATCCAAAAATAAAACCAATAATTTTATTACGTGAATTCTGAGCTGTTAAATTCTTCGAGAATGTATCTTCTGCCTTTAAAAGTATAAGTATATAAGTAAGATTCTGTCTTGTTTAGGTTGTTTATTCGTTTCTTCGCTTAAAGCGCGATGCGATCGATTAAGTCGGGAGCGGCACGGACCGATTAGGATCAAGCCCGACGCGTTTTCATGCTCGAGAGCTGTTCGCTCACCTCGCGCCGCGCGCTTATAAGAGCGCTTTTACGATTCAGGCCACGTGGACACCCACGCTCCCTTCCATAAAGCGCTTAGAACCGCTCGTCCTTCCGGTGCGCCTCGGTTAAGACTACCTCAACACTGGAAGCCCGGCAGATGCAATTTTACGATTACAGTTGCCGCTTTCGAATTTACGACTTCCCCTCGCGTCGCGACGCAAGTATTAAGACCGGGGAGAAGATCCCGGTATGAATGATGCAACGAGCGGTACATCGCGACCGGTTAAGCCGCCGCTACCGTTTCGATACGATCTTTTATTTTTCTTCTTAGCCGACGGACTATCTTCCGCTTACATCTAACCCAACGGCGCGCGGAGCCCAAAGTGCGCCACACGTTGCGCCACGAACTAGAGACCCCTCGGTGTATATGCAACGCGATACATCGAACCGATAATGCGCCTTTGATAACAAAGCGTAATATTAGCATATACGCGAGACGAAATAAAGCATTAGCTTACGACGTAATATACATTACGATGCATAATCTGACCGCAGACATCGCGGCCCGGGTTTCCTCGAAGCACCCTCGGAGTATCGTAAACTCTTGCAATTATCTCTTTCACGGGGTCAATTGGGCTTGATCTACGAAAGAAAGACGACACGCGTCGCGCTCGTCCGGCATGAATAATCGCCGGCCGGCCGGCCCTTGTTACTTCCTGTCTTTGGATTTGCCTCTAATGGGACTCCTCGGGAAACGCGTAAGCGCGCACCTTGGTGAACGGCGAACGCTCTTCGTTCTACGACGCCTTCGTTCGACGGCGCACCGTTGCGTCCGTCGCGAAATTGTCTCTCGTCGTTGTCGCAATTTATCGAGTCAGTAAATAGGCGCATCTCCGACTCGAACTTCGACGTCCGTCGAAGCGAGACGCATGCAATGACCTTGACGGATATAACGAGGACCATATAGGAAAAGAGCTCCTCACGGTTACGCTGCACACGACGGATTGCGAGATCAGGAAAGAGATCGTTTTTTATTCGTTCTATCTTGATCGTAACATCCTCATCGTAATGATCAATGCCGAGTTTCTCTCACTCTCTCTGTCTCACGGTTCTCTCTGTATGCGCTTCGCGCGCAACGCCCCAGTTAATTAGAAGACCTATCATACGTCATCTGAAATTTCATGCCGCGGCAAGGAATCTCGTGCTCATGACCACGAGGACGTTACCGACTCGCGACAGCATCTGATACGGTCGCTTTCAATCACGCACACAGCTTTTGCAGACAATTCTCGCAGAATATAGAAATATGCCAGTGTCAATGTCCAAGATTAACGCTCAATATTAAATTCGTTGCAACGCGGAATTTGGTATATAGAATATTTTAAAAAATATAGGTATATTTTATAACAAACATTTTAAAAATTATAAATATTAAAACAAATGTTTAATCTAATTAATATATGTTAAAGCAAATTAATTTTCATTGGATTTATTGTAAAAGAAATAAGAATTCATTTATTTTTCTAATTACACGATTTGTAAGCTATTATTCCTAGAGAATGCACTATCTTTCGGATTCTACACGACTTATATAATATCGATTTCATTAAAGAAAGTATTGGATATAGTATTGACAGTAGTTTTTCATTTACGCTAGAATTTTTCAATATCTAATGGAGGAATAAGCGATTCGTTGAAATTCATTTCACGATTTAATTATTTTATTCTGCTAGATTCTCTTTTGATAGATCTTTTTTGGAACGTTTAAGATAATAAATTATTCCATTATCTTCGACTACAATATACATAGGTACTTTGTTGTTAAAATCAATGTCACTATGGTGATCTTGTCTGTTAATGCTATTAATATCATTATGCATATTGATCGTATTGACAAACGCCATGTGTATATATACTTTATATATATATATGCGATGTCCGTTTGATAATTTATTTTCAATTGCTGGCTTGTTATAGTGTTTAGTTAGTGTTGCTATATAAATTTAAAAACAATGTTTATAAATATGATTTGATTATAAAGTAATTTTTAGTTTATAATAATCTTATTTAATCTGCAACTATAATAATCCAAATTAATTGAGCTCGAGATTTGCCACTGTACTAACAATAAGCTAGCATTGGTCTTATTTAATCATTCTTTTAATGTATATTAGACTATACAAAAGAAAAACTGTTGCAATAATTGCAATATTAATTCAGTGTTTAGCGTAATGGTCCTAAAATTCGAAGGCTAGAAAAAAGGATCACTTATAGGTAATTGAAGACCTATTGGAATGTCGATGGTAAGTTTTCTCTAAAATGTGAATTCTCATCGAGATTACCCTGAAGCGTCATCATTTCGGCGACGCGGGGCGATCCGCGAACTTGAAGCGATTCATTCGTTTATCTGAGCCTTTTAAAGGCTCTAGCGGGCTTTGCGCCGTGCGAACACACGAATCTGCGTACCTTCGTTCACCGTGGTCCAGATGAGATCGCGGCTCTCGTACAGGCCGCGGGGCAGGATGTGACGTCAGAAGGCCCCCGCCGAGCTGAGCACCGTCGGACGGCGGCTACGAGTCAATTGTCTTCTTTCACACTGACACACTGGCCAAATCCCCGCATCGACACGGCCGGTCACAAGTATTCGCACGCACGCACACCGGTGCACACACACATACACACACACACACACACACATACACACCGCGCGCACACACTCGAGATCCCGCGCCTCCTCCTCCTCCTCCTCCTCCTCTTTGTCCTCTTCCTCCTCCGGACTTCTGTTACTGCTGCTGCCGCTGCTGTTGCTTGTAGCAGCAAGTAGACACTAATTTATTAATGCCACTCCAACCACTATACTCCGTTACTCATCACGGTTTATTGACTTTCATTGCGATCTCGTCTCGCGCGCCACACTCTAACGTTTCTTCGCTCTTTTCCTCCCCATATACGACGACCAGTCTTGCGTCGCGCGACCGCTCGTTCCCTTTTCCCTTTTCTGTTACAAGCCGAAGCCGAAGTCGTAATGTTCAAAATCAAAGTATAAGTCGACAGCTGTCCGCTTACAAGATACTCTCTATTCTTAAAATGAATAGATAACGTGTTGCGTCGCGGCGCGTAACATCTCGCGCCTGCGAGTCGTGCAGTGAGCTCTCGTTCGGTCGTTGATCATCCACCGATCGATGTCGACTGTTCTTTTCCGCGAAACGGATTTTTTTTTCTAGCTCTTCTAGCTTCTTTAACTTTTCCCAAAGGGGGGAGGTTTCTATGACGATCTCATCTAGGAGCGAGTGCGATCTTCCGAATGAATATCCTGAAACCGAATCGATACTGCATTAGCGAAATGGAACATTGTTCTCATCAATTTCTCTTTATTTCTGATTATACGGTAAATAAAGAGTTTTATACTCGTAATTTTCTTTAAATAACGAGTTTCAAGTACTTTTCCACACAGGGCGCGGGCTCGATGCCCCCGATAATAACGGTAAATAGAAATTTTTTCACGAGGATATAGTTTTTACGAAAGCCTTCCGGTGATCGGTATCAAGTAAGTAGTTTTCACAGGGTGGTCTCGGGGCAGCGCGTGCTTCCTGATGTGAGAAAGGGGTCGTTGAGTCGAATCGATAGGGTGTGTATTATGAAGCAAATAATAGCACACGGGTGTGCATTTATAAACGACGCGTGACGGGCCGTGTACACGGCTGGTATAGCGCGTTATTATCGATATCGTCATATTACAATTGTATTTCTATTATTGAAGGCGTTCCACCACGGTGTTGAATTTCAAGAGTAACGGGACTCTTACTTTTACCCAGATGTTCACTTTTAAATCGAGCTGGAAAGTCCCGAGGGGGGGGGGGGGTTCATTCAGATTTACGGGTAGATCTTCTAAAGATAAGGGGAAATAATTCGCTTGAAGATGTCGGATCATCTTCGTTGACCTATACTTCCCATTCTGCAACCCTTGATATTCGCGGCCTAGCGTGTTTACCGTGCCGTTCCTCCTTTCACCCTTTCCTTCTCTCTTTGGTTGTTGGAAGATCGATATATCGAGCAAAACCGACGACTGGGTCATAGCATTCGCGTTTTTGGTTCGGAGTAATATTTTGCAAAAAAATAAATATATAAAAACTCTTCGCGCACGAGTGTATATTGGAAAAATGTCAAGTTTTTATTGCCTTGTAATAAGAAATTAGCGAGACTCGTGTTCTCGAGATTCGATGCTTTAATATAGCGCGAAAAAGAAAAAAATGTATCACGGGAAAGCGACGACACACAATCACCTGTTAGATAATACATGTACTGACAATATAGTTAGGTTTCCATGAAGATGGAAAATGTCGATCTATAGGCGCCTTCGATGAAAAGAATACTTCTAGTTGTACTAGTCACGTACGTAATACGGCAAATGACTCATACCACGTGTAGAGTATCGTCGTGCCCGGCCTTTTTATTATACGATTCGGGAGAGACGTCGCGTCGTCGTCGTGGCATGCGACGCTGTTGTTTGTATAAAAGTGACGATTTGCATGGAGGAAGTTGGTCGTGTAACTGCGGAACGGGCTACACGAAAATCGTGGAGGGAATTGATTATAGTAAAGGAATGATTATAAGGTTGATGACTCAGGCGCGTGAGTTGTCGAATGTCTTTAAGCGTCTTTATAATACACCTTCTCAATTACTTGATATTATTCGTTTTTTCATATTAATTTTTATTAATAATGTATTTATTAATAATGTATTAGGATTAGTAACGTACAGTATTTTGTGCTCCTATATGTCAGAAAATATTTTCTGCTCTTGTCTAAATAAAAAACTTTATTAAACTTAATGTTTTTGCGTTTTCTACCAATATTATGTTTCTGTCAAAACAACTTTAATAATTTTTCAAAGCTTCTAAATTGATATTATGCTAAATTAAAAAAGAAAAGGCTCAATATAAAACTATAAAACGTGTAATGGCAATTAGATCGATAATAAATGTACATGTATAATTTATTTAACTGATTTTTTAGAGAGATTTCTTGAATATGTCGTTTGAAAAATAGTTTGATGGCTGTCTTCGCAAATATCATTAGTGTATCGTTATCAGGGAAGCGTCATCACCTGTGCGTTATTGCGATCGACATGAATGCTTAAAATTTATGCAAGGTAAATAAAGGCGAGCAGTTGAAACCAGATCCGCGATAATATGAAGCAACAATTAGCACCGCAGAAGAAGCGCAAGTTTCGTCGGCACAAATGATATAATGTTATATAAAACTGTTTTTTTTTTTAGCAAACTGAAAAAATTTTCTTTATTTCTGTTGGCGAATCTCTTCGTATTTTTCTCGTGAATTTTGACTTTTTATTCAGAGGAACTATTTAAAACTTTTTAAAAGTCCTTTTTAATTAAAACTATTATTCCGATTTTTTTGAAATTGTGTATAAAAATTTTCTGCTTTCGAAATTTTCCTTATTTTTATCGAAGATGTTTGTGAGAAATTAAATTGTAATCCTAAATTTTCTCACTAAACCGTAGAAATTATTAGCCACGATTTGATACTTTATCGCAGATTAGCAATTAAGGTCGTCTCTTATTAGGTTAAAAGATACGAGATTAACCTGAATGTGCCAAGAATATTTTTCCTCTTTATGAAGTTGACATATACACATACTTCCTTGTTACGAACGAGAAACACGTGAGGAATCATGGCATCCATTAAAAAAAAAAAGTGAGGTTTCTGAATATAATTTTAAATTTATACGTGAAGAAAAAATAGAACAGAGCTGTAAGTATACGTGACATTTTGCATTTAAGTACTAATTACATTACATTGTTTATTCTTACCGACGATTTTGTCTTCTTGAAGATAAAATTTGCTCCAAAGCTCACTCACTCGGAATCGTTCGGCAGAGATTCGCGGTATTCACAACAAGTGGTTCGAAGTCGCGAGACGGTTTTAACTGAGATCTTCGGGAATTCGGGTGCAACCGCGGAAGACGTGTCGTTTAGTTCGACGAGGAGGAAGTTTCCGTTCACAGTTCCTGTCGGGAATAGGAAGAAGCAGTTCCTCGCGGGGGAAAATCGGTCTTCCGGTTGCGTTCCCGACGGCGAACGTGGACGGACTGAACGCATCCCGACTATCCCTTCAACGAGACAGGATCCTTTCTTCTTTTTTTGGGGAGGGAGGGGGAGATGGGGGGAGACTCCCTCTCTCTGCGCGCTTCTTTCAGCCCTTCGTTCTTTCCCGCCGCTCGTTCGCCGCGTGCGGCTCCTCAAGTACGCGGCGCGACGGAATCGCGCTCACGACTGGCATATTAGCCTCACTCTCCTCGTACTCCCGGTCATGCTACCAGGCTTTTCCTCCACCCACGTACCCAGTTGCGTATCACTCGAGGGTACCGCAAACTCGTTCGATTCGTGCTTCTTTCGGTTTATCAAGTTTTCAACTTTTAAACTTTTAGAAAAATTTCGTCAAAAGACCGTGTGGAAACGAAATTTTTTTTTTTTACAACAGTTATTCGAGGAAATTTTTATAGTGTTACGAGAAAAAAAATTACAAGAGAGGACGAGAGAGATGGAGTAATATATAGCATCGCTAGTTTGTTAATATTTAGAAACTTATTGACAAACACCTCAGCTAAATTTTCATTGACAAAATAAATCGCGATGAGAAAGTGCGTCGATCTCCAAGAGTTGGTCACGCAAAGTTATACGTACAACGACTTTAACGCGACCACACTGCCGCAAGAAATCAGAGTTAATTAACTTGCAGAGGAATCTCAGACTGGTGGAAGTCGCACGTATGTGCCGCGTCGTGAGAGACGTTAGAAGTGTAATAAATAAAACTGACAATGAGATAATAGACAAATTGGCCCTAAACACATCCGACTCGTTAGCGGAGTATCAGAAGGTCGGGTTTCGTCAGTGTGGAGGGAGGCGATCACACTTTCCACCGTCTTGCTCCAGGGGGAAACATACGGGAGAAACAGACGGTCAAATCTCTCGTGTAAAATGCGTGCTTTAAAAAAAAAAAAAAGATTTTGCCTCTCACGCTTAATTATTGCACAATTGTTTTGCCATTTAATGTCGCTCCGACTAATTCCTGATAACGGGAGTAAATACGAGGGTTGTCGACCTGTCACATTTCGTTCCGCTCAGTGTGTGATCGTTGCCAGGCGTAATTCAGCATAACCTTCCACGCTAGGACGAACGAGATTTGAGATAGGTACAATTACTGCTAAACCGGATAAATGTCTTTTATCCGAGAATTAGCAACCGGCTACCTCGTTATATTTTATTTTCCTCGTGAAACCGCTCGCTCTAACTCGTTTTGCATTTGTTCAAGAGAATAGAAGCTTGATCCGTGTTATAAATTATAATTACAACAAGTTGAAAGAAAGATATTATTAACAAGACATTATATATCTTTTAATGTTTTACGTAGTGTATGTCCATTTTTTTAATTGATAAATTTAGTACACAAAAATGAGATAAATCCTAATCTAAAGTTTATAATAGATCTAAAATAAATTTTATTAGTTGAGATTTCATTTTATAATAGATGTTATAGATTTACTTTTGTTTTAGTTTAGCACAAAAGTTTTAAAGATAAGAAATATATGTATAATATAAATCCTTCCACTAGTCTATTTGATTTTTTCTTGACTTAAAATCTATCTGTTATTAAATAAAATAAATAAATAATAAATTGTTACATTTGGAAGGCGTTTAATTAAAACGTGTTTTAAGGAATATAGATGTCAAAACTTGAACGTGATTAATAGAATCTTAACACACTTATGATAAATGATAGGTATGTTGCCTACAATGATTTTTATCGCGTAATTACTAGTATAGTCGCTATCTACGCTTAAGATCGTTTCTTCCGTAGCTGTGTAGTCAATTTAAGCGTATCGCATATATACCGAACTTCCTTGAAGCCAATTAGACGCAAACTGTTTGCGATTAAACGCATAACATTCGTGCGTTTCCTCAGTGTGAAACAAGTTTTCAAATTGACGACACTTAAAGACGTTTCTACAAATATTTTATCGGCAATTATACATATTTATATACCAATATAATTACTCACGTACACTCGATGAGATATGTGATGAGATACAAGAAAAACACTTCAGAGATAAAACGCGACAAATATCTAAATGCACAAGGTGTTTAAGCATGTTTTTTCAACAAATTTGAAATAGATTTTTTTTTAAATCGAAGCAAGTGTGATTATTCCTCAAAGAGCGATTAATAATAATCCAACAATTTGTGAATTCAACAAATCTTTATGGATGTGAATAAATAATAGTATAGCTGTCTTACTTATTAAATCGTGATATTTTGTTCTCGAACAGATTTCACGAATACCATAAGTACTTTTTAATTAGAATAACGTTTACAAGAAGGTAAGCTAAGTCTGATATTCGTAAGGTCAAGGCGTAACCTATATTATCACGCACAAATATACGACAAGCTCTACATGCGTACCGATACGCGATCAACCATATACTATTCCATATACGTTTCTCTTCAAGGCTATTATTCACGAATGTGTTGCGTGTCTTTACTATACGTGGACAAATTGATTGAAAGCTTCATTATACAACTATAAAAGTTGTACAAGAAGGTATATCACAAAAATCCGTAGAAAGCTAAGAAAATTTTAAAAACTAAGAAAACCTTTCAATGAAATCGATAAAAGAAAAGAAATTATGCCACAATTTTATAATAATTATAATTGAATATTATTTCCAATATGAGCGAAATTAAATTAGGAAGGAATATTTGAATTATAAGACACTGCGCTCAAGTTAAAATTTATGCTTGTTTGTAACTGTAATTGTTCAGGTGTACAAAGTTTTTTCAGCTATCTGATCGAACATTAACATTCAACAGAATCATTTTTCGAGCATTATAAAAGCAAGCAAAAAAAATATTTAAAATAAAAACCAAAATAAAATAAAAAACCATGTAGAACAATAATTCTTATTTGGCCGTCGCGATACTACTAGCAGTATAATTAAAATATAAAAATTTTTTTATAAAGAATGAATATTTAAATAAAAAGAATATAATTATGAATATATGTTATCAATGTCCTGTTGTTTACAGAAGGAATAGGACATTTGAAAATTTCTTTCATTTTTATTTACATGTATGGCCAAGCAATACTCTTATCTCTGTACTCGTTACATCGTTAACATAAAAGCGCGCGCAGCGCGGTATATGTAACCATTTGCGTTCGGTACACAAATCTTCTTGCACCTATTAATGCGCGCCGATCGGCTATATAAACTGATCACGAGCGAGAACAAAGTGAGCAAGCGAACAACAGAATTCTGCGTGGTAACGTTTAATGAAAACACGAACATGATCTTGATCAAAGATTCTAAATTAAATATATAATACTGTAGCTATTTAGATGTCTATTTACTCATTTTAAAACACACGCAACGTTTGGTAATGTAATTTGCATTGTTTGTTTGAAAATGAAAATTTCTCTTGTCTTAGAATGCATCAATACATGAAATCGATCGATAATATGTTGTTTTTAATCTTTTGAATGCTTCGAAAAGAAGTAAAAAATTATGAAAATAGATAATCGATAATTATTACTTAAAAATATTCTTAAAGCATTTAAAGTTCCTAAAATGTATGAAATTATGAGAAATCACAACGAAGAAATTAAATAATGAATTATTATTCTACATCATCTTATGTTACATTTGTTGCTAGATTTACTTTTAGCTGGCTGAAATAACATCTTGTTTTTAATTTATTGATTAGCTTGATCGTGAAAGGATAAACTAATTGTCGCTAATTATGTCGAACTCATTATTGATGCCTAGGTTGTTTCACTTATCACTATTAACGACCGTTTAAGAGATCGAGCATAAGATCGTTACTGTATGCGATAATTGTTGCTAAAATATTCGACCCACATGTTACGTCATTGGTAGTTCACATCCTTGTTTAACTTCTTCTCGCTGGATTTTTATTTGCGCTTCTAATATCAGATTGTTTAACAATGACGCGGCTTCTATATCAAACACATCGTGAAATGATAAGGATTCAAACTATCAGCGAAAAACTTTGCTAGAACGATCATTTGATATTCTAAGTTAATGTGTATAATTTTTTCATTTTATAAATTTGTGTGTGTATGTTATTTATTTTATGAATGTTGAATGAAGTTTAACATCTATAAATTGAAAAAATTACGAAAAAGTATTAAATGCTGTTCTCTAACAATAAAACTACACAATAAAGCATCTATCGATTTTAAAAATTATTTAACTTATATCTTTAAAATTATTTAAAACGTTATTGAGAAAAATTATAAATTTATAAATTTTTATTTGTTAAACAAGACGTTTCTGATTTAACATGATATTTCTTTTTATTAAACATTGTTATTTAAAATTATTTTAATTTTAATAAATATGGAAAGATATAAATATTATTTTATTTCATTTTTTAAATTATAATATCTGCAATAGTTTACAAATTTCGGTATCATTACTTACAAATAGAATATTTTTTAGTATTAAATATATAATTAGAGAGCAGTCTGAGAGTGCACGATTTTAGATAAGACCTCCGTTTACTGGCGCCTCTATGTGTACAATATGTGCATCTTGAAGTATAATGTAGCCACAGATATTTCCAGTGGGTAACACGTCCATCCATAGTCTTCGATTTTGTTTCGTGTTATGAAGTATCCAGAGAGACGTAGCGCCTCAATGTTGCACATTGAACTACGTAGCCACGAATATTTTCAACGGATAACAACCTACGAGTCCACGATTTTCGATTCTGTCTCACAGCGCCTTGAAATAATTTTTTATGAGAATTAAAAAATTAAAGAGCAAAATATATGGTCATTATAGAATATATATTTGAACTGTTATGATCTCGAAATATTTAGCGCTTTATAAATTAATGTTGTATAGGCATATATAGCGGCCAAGGCACGTCGCGTCGATTAAGCGCCGCGTGTGAATCAAGCGTAGACAATCGAAAGACAATAAAACCGATGTCTCTGCCAGAAACATTCCTGAAATCCGGCCAGATCGCTTTGTGTCACGGACTCGTGACTAATGGTTATTGACGATATTGATTAACCTGGGCTTACCTACATATTTGTCGAAGCAGAAAAAAAGACGAATTCGCACAATCTGTGAAAACTTATTTTAAGATATTTGCAATTCTTCCCGTTGAAATTAAATCTAATTTAATTTAAATATCGTTATTTGCAATTCGCCTACATATGTAACATGTAAGTATATATTATGATAATAATCAAACAACATTTGTCATCAAGCATATAAA